GAGGGATCTTTCTCAAATTTTAAATGTAGGTTCCCCTTGATCCCTCGTTGTGTATGTTATATTTTGAGACTGATCATAAAAACAAAATGGATTAAAAGAAGAACTAAACAGATCTTTCTCATATTGCAATGATCGATTCTATTTCTTTCACATTAAGTACTGTACTAGTAAATATGTGAAATGACAAACTCACTTTGAAGGTTGGCTTTCATACACATCAGTATTAAGTTTAGATCAAAGTTACCTCAAGGTGCATTTACTGTTAACATGACTTGATCAGACAGATTAGAGGAAAGAAGAGAAAAGATCGAACTGACACAGAACTAATGAAGATGGTACAAAGGTGGGCGCCAAGATCCCTCTGGGATCTCTTGTTTAGATTCACGCGACCATCATGATGGTGCCTAACATATTGGTCGAATGTGCTGATTATAGACAGAACCGAGACCAAGTTCATCATGCGCCCGATATGAAAACATTGTTCAACACAATTTTGTCAACGATTTTCGAATATCTGCGTGATTGATCTAAACCATTAAATTTGAACTGTGCACATTCTTTTTATAATAATACCCTACCATTTTCGCTGTGTACCGATCTAAACGGTTTCTACAGAACATATTCATAACAATATATGTAAAGCTTTATACTTAAAGACGTCCGTTTCCGTCTATATAGTTTTGTCCAAAAAAAAAGAAGACTTTTACGAAATACAACAAAATAATTGGGAATATTAATCTCTAACATGTACCAAAAAATATGCCTCAACTTATAAAGGATATTTCCTAAAAGTATCTAGGCTAATGTGTTTTTTTAATATGTACAGTAAATATATACAGTTTTGGTCGAATGTGCTGATTATAGATAGAACCGAGACCAAGTTCATCATGCGCCCGATATGAAAATATTGTTCAACACAATTTTGTCAACGATTTTCGAATATCTGCGTGATTGATCTAAACCATTAAATTTGAACTGTGCACATTCTTTTTATTATAATACCCTACAATGTTCGCTGAGTACCGATCTAAACGGTTTCTACAGAACATATTCATAACAATATATGTAAAGCTTTATACTTAAAGGCGTCCGTTTCCGTCTTTATAGTTTTGTCCAAAACAAAGAAGACTTTTACGAAATACAACAAAATAATTGGGAATATTAATCTGTAACATGTACCAAAAAATATACCTCAACTGATGAAGGATATTTCCTAAAAGTATCTAGGCTAATGTGTTTTTTAATATGTACGGTAAATATATACAGTTTTGATTGTTCTGGTCAACCAACATACATTTTAACAGAAATGCCACGTTTTCTTTTACTGTTTTTTTGCAGATCCACCTACAGGAAATATAGTGATGTGGCCATTCGGTACCTACAGCTTTCAGGCAGGTACAATAGTAACGCTCAATTGTTGGGTAGAGGGTGGAAACCCTCTGGCAACACTGACATGGCAGTGCAAAGGGTCAACCGTTGTCGGGCAGAATCTGACCTATCGCACAAAATCACACTCCAGACTGGAATTAAAAGTGGACAAAACCTACCACCAGCAAAAGTGTTTGTGTACAGCCAGACAACAGGCTAGTCCTAATGGATGGGTTGGCACGGTGTCTGTTCAATTTAATATCCTCTGTAAGTAAATGAGACATTTTATAAAATCATTTGAAAATACTTTTTTAGATAATGATTTTCAAATTTTGCTAAAATAAATTTGTCTTTTTTTTGTGCCGATATGGCAAGTGAAAAATTTGACAGATTGACAAATTCTGGTCATTGAATATGAAATGCTAATTAGAAAAATATAATTATTATTGTAGATTGTTTTTTATCTACTAAGTCTGTTTGAACCTTAGAGAAAAGGTTGTCCTTTAACGACTTTGCATAGGAGACACATGTCGAGTGTGCCGATTACAGACAGACCAAAGACGAATATAACGATGTGCCTGATATGAAAGCATTGCTCCATGCAAATTGATTTTCGAAAATCTGCGTGAAATTGACATAATCCATAAATTTTGAAATTTCGCAAATTCGTTTCTTAGCTCACTGGGTCCGAACTACTAAGTTGAGCTTATGACGTACCGTGTTGTCCGCCGTCCATATATTTTTATACAATTTCATTAGACGATTTCTTCTTTACCACTAGTTGGAAACCTTGGTGGTGGAGATTCGAAATTGTACAAATGGTGTGGCTGATTCCCC